GTACGCACAGTGGGTCGGTCCGTATGATCAGGGTTCGAAGGACCTTCGTCGCGCTTCTTCCTGGATAGGACCCGTTTCCTCTGCAAAGTTGCTTGTCTAATGATGCTATCTGAAAAATGACAAAGTACAAACGATCAATACAAGTACATCTCAAGTACAAAGCAATAATCGAAGGCAGAAGGACAACCATAATCGACGCACATAACCCCGTGTATAGGGTCGACACGGTCGATCCGCCCGAACGAACGTGTGGGGTCGACACGGTTGACCCATATGACTCTGTGTGTAGGATCGATCCGGTCGACCCGCACGACCGCGTGCGTAGGGTCGACTTGATTGACCCATACGGCAAAAAAAAAAGGACGAACCGTGTGTAGGTCGACCAAGGCGACGCACGCAATGGTCCGCGTGTATAGGTTCAACATGATGGGGTCGATCGATATATGGTGCGAGAGTAGGGTCGACACTCAACCCACAAAGCTCACGCTGCACTCGACCCACACGATCCACGTGAGCACACGGGGAACCCCGACAAGGGCCCCCAAGGGTCGATTAACTCGACCCGCTCAAACCTAAAGCAACCCGCACACACCAAATGCAAGCGCCAAAGAATCACACGCATATAAAAAAACACAACAATATAAGTACAAGTGGTGAGATATTGACCATTAGTACCTACGGTCTTGGAAGGATCGGGACTCTTGGATGTTAAACCAGCATAATGGCGAAGGGTAGTGGAAGAAGTGAGAAGTACTATGTCTATAGGTTCCTCGTTCCAACCCCGGATTAATTGTCTCCAACGAGGTTGATTCTTCGGCTTGCTTAGTGGGGTAAATATCTTATGAAGCCACTTCGGAAGAAAGCCGAAAGTATCGGGCGGGGGTCGAATGAAGAAAAATATTTTCTTCCATGAAGGAATGTTCGAAGGAAGATTCAAAATAAACTTGGCCCCGCGGCGGGAACTAGTATAGTAGCATCCCATTCGGCCCCATTTTTTAAATCCTAACCCCTAACAATAGAAGTAAAGTCGGGCTCTAACCTTTCCAACTGATGGCGACAAAAGATAATGAAGGCGATCATGGTACGGATAGCGTTGGGGGGAAGTTGATTAAGTGGAAAATCGAAAACCCCACACAAGCGCAAGAGAGCATCAATACCCAAAAATCGGAGACCAACACTAATTTGGCCTTTGAAAAAGGTATAACAACCGGAAGGTAGGTGGTCATACGTATCGTTAAGCTCCGGTTTCGCAAACTCCCAACCGGGGGGCAACTCGCAAGTGTCCTTATACCTATCAATATCCTCGGTCGACATACGAGCGAAATTAGGCCTAGTGGGAAGTCGACTAACGGAGGAGAATCGGACCCGCTTGAAGAGGCCGAACGAGACCCGGATCTAGCCACGCTAACCGGATGGGGACTATAGCTACCCGAACCAGCCGAATTGGAATCGGGATCACCCGAATTGACCGGAGAAGGGCCGCCCCTATCTGAACAAACTAAAGAAGCCCCATGACCCGAAACCGAGTCAGGCACATCGGAGATGGAGAGAACATCTCCAAGGTCAAGAGGGTCGTTAGGACATGAATCTCCAAAATTGTTGGAGAAGCTCGTCCCAATTTAACTCCCCTTCGGCTTCATCTATTAAACGAGGGGTATTGGCCCCGGAAGGAGGATCGAAAGGTATATCTACATAAGGGCACGAAAAAGAAACTAAATAAGAACTATTGGACGAGAAAACCCGACCCAACCCCCGAAATTGAGTCACCCAACCTAAGAATTGAATAATTAGGGCAAGCAATGTATACACCATGAAAGAGAAGACCAAAACAACAACAAGCAAGGTAATAGAAATAAAGTTCTTACCCATGGTTCAAAAATGCCGGAACTTGCTCGAGCTTGGTTGAGAAATGCAACCGAGGGAAGGATCGATGGGGAAGTCGCGTCGTGGGGGGCCTCTCGAGCCTATGGTCGAGCCGCCGTATAGAGCTACTCACGAGCTAGCCGCCGGGAAGGAAATCTTGCAAGAAAAGGAGAAGAATTGTGAATGGAGAAGAAAGTTGGGAAGAAAAAGAGAAGAAAAAGTATGAAGGAAGGAGATGATATATGGAGAGGAGAGAGGAAGAGTTTAGAAGAGAGAGGATAAGGAAGAGTTGGTGAGTATGGAGAGCGTTGGGTGAATATGGGCCGCAAGATTTAGGTGGATAAGATTAAGGTAGGTGGTCATTGTTTGGGAAGGAGGGAAAACATTAGTCATACTTTGTTCAGATACAAAACAAGTTCTCTTGACCGATTGATGGCCGAAAAATCGAGGGCCGAATATCGACGTTGGCGACCACCCAAAAACTGTATATTTACGACTATTCGAATTTCGTCTCGCATACTCGTAAATAGGGGGAAATAGTTGATATGGATTATAATACCGACCCGGTCCGACCTAATAAAATCCCATAATGATAAGCCGACCAAGTCGATAGACCGACCAAAAGCATAGGGCCGAGCCATGCAAGGGCTTCGACCCATCGGTATTGGGTCGAGGGGGGCTCGACCGACCTGATGGTCGAGCGGATGTGCGGGCTTCCGAGCTGGCTTCGACCCTTCGAGTTAATGGTCAAGGTGGAGGGTCGAACCATGCATCGGGCGTAGGGGGTCTAGGGTCGAGGGTCGAGCCACGCTAGGGCTTTGACCCATCAACCCAAGAATCATGGTGAGGTTAGTCGAGCCTTGTTGAGGCCTCGATCCCTCAAGCTAATAGTTCAGGTGGGAGAGCGAGCCATGCACCGGGCGTAGGGTGCCGAGGGTCGAGGATCGAGCCATGCTAAGGCCTCGACCCATCGATTAGTTCGACCCGCGTAAGTCAAAGCGTTGGCTGATAAGTGAACGCTATGTAAAGGATAAACCGAGAGTAATACAGGTAAGATGTCATTTAATATCATTACTACCACATTTATTACATCTAATTCTCTCTAAATCCGAGATCCTAACTTGGGTTTCAGAAGGCTTGCGCCGGAGAAATTCCGGCGCGCTTTCAGGTACCGGAGAACACTCAAGCTCAGACCGAACCGAATCAAGCGAACCAATGTCATAACCGAGAAGAACATTCCGCAAGACCAGTTGGTAATAACCGGGAAGAACCTTGCGGGAAGAACCTTTCGCAAGACCAAAACCACCGATTTCGGACCATATCAGAGGGTGTCCATACGCATCTATATCAAGGAATTTACCACCATGTTCCGGACATAACCAGCGTTTTGAGGCTGACTATTTTTCCCAACATGAGCACTGTGATGCAGACTTAACTACCTAGATACAAGTCTCCAACGAGAAACAAGAGCACCCAGATACAAGTCTCCAACGAGAAACAAGAGCTCGACAATGTATAGCATATAGGCTATAGCATATATAGTTCGCAAAGGACTCGATCCAACTTTCCTTGTTTTGGTTATACATTTCTAGTTGTAAACAGACCACCAATGGTTAATTGAGTTTAGCCAAACGACTCGGTAACTGTCCCTTGGTTTGGCTATGTATTTCAGTTGTAAACATGTTAACCCACCATTGGTTAATTTCCCCTGAAATTGACATTTCCCGCACTGTTTTTTCAACACCATTTAGAAGGTCTTGGCAAGATATAAGCATACTACTTACTCTACACAAAGCACACACCCATAAGCAACAAATCATTATCACCCACAACAAACATGAGTTGCAAGAACCACCATAAATTCCACAAGCAAAATTATAACAGAAGTACACAGACAAAGAACAAAGCAAAACAACACAAGTAATTGTGCAGAGTTAGGTTACAACACCATCATAAACAACACACTTAAAACATTTCAAATTGCCTATTGCTAGACATAATCTCCCTGCATCTCCAGTCGAGTGGGGGTTCATTTCACACCGCTGTCCCTGTGACCCCAGCTTTAGGGCGCGCCTCAGTCCCTGGTGCGCCAATGCCGTAATCCGGGTCCCTGTACCCAGGCCCATACCTGCTGCTGAAAAACCCGGCATGCAGCAGCAGCACATACAGCAGCTGGGTGAAACCGAGTATTATGACAAAAGCCTCGAGCACCCTCAAACGCCACCCCCTCCATCCTCCTATGTTTATTTCCTTGCAAGCCAAACTGACAGAACAAAAAGGTCAAAAAATCACCACTAAGCTAAACATCAGCTCAAACTTAATAACAAAAGGAACCAACTCACCCGAAAGCAAGTGCTGTGACGGCCCACGCAACTACGGAAGACGATCCGGCAGCCGCAAGGCTATCGTTCCTCCACGCCCTGAGGTGGTTGCCGCCGGCGATCTTGGACACTATTCCAAGAACAGCGGCCAATATCGCAAACGTCAAGAACAACCCAGTTGCCCCATTTCCTCCCATGCCTGTAGACAGAACACGTACCAATTAGTTTATGCAATAAAAAAACTCTTGCTGACTTAAGACATGGAGCCGGCCCGGCCCGGCCCGTAGGTTGCCGGTTCAGGTCACCGTGGCTTTACGGGTCGTGTCCGGGTCCAGTTTTTCTACTTTTGGTCCCGTTCCGGCCCTTGGTTTTTGGCGGGCCGGTTTGCGACTTGCAATAGAAATAGAAGCAGATTTGTGAAGGGAAACTTACTCGGATGAGCGGTTTGGCCATTGATGTACCTATTCAAACACCAGCTCGAAAAGCCCAACACTATGAAATACATGATCAGGTTGATCAGCAGAAGTGGCGCTGCCAAAGTCCTTGCCACAGTTCTTGCCATTTTTGTTCTAATTAAGCTAAATATAGACTTTATATTAATTTTTGATGAGAAACAAGACTGACGAGCCTTAATACACTTATATCGCTCTTTGTGTAAGATTGCAGCGGTGAATTGTGATTTATTCGGCTATGCTATTTATGGAGTTGGTTTGGGGATTTACGGTGCGGCATGCATGTAGCTCGAGCTTACACGTGTTGCAACACGTGTCCGCATCAGCCGACTGTATCCATTATTTTTATTATGAATTAATATGATAATGATGATATATATCAAGTGTTTGGATGTATATCCGTTGCATTTTGTGTAGTAGCTTGTCAAGAATAGTTGATATGCGGTTCCATTTTAATTAACCATTGTATATTGGATATAGGGAGATCTTAGAACGATTCTGTCGGGTTTGTAATCGTTAGATCAATTATCCACTACAGTTATACGATGATCTAGGTTACAAATTTCGACGGAATGATTGCGTAACGAGACTGTCGTATTTCTCTTGGATATATTTGCAGTAACAAATTCCTTTTGAAATTGTTCTTATTGTGTGGGCATCTTTAAAACGCACATGTTAATTACAAAATCGACTAATGCAGAACCCGTGCCGGAGTAGACAGACTTAAGGTTATTTACTCAATCTATTATTGTATTCATGAATAAAAAAAATCAAGTAAATAAAGAAATAATATTATATATTATTTAAAATGTCCTTGTAGACAACATTTTTTGCTTTCTAGGTAGGGTTGAACATGAGACTCGGAGAATTCCGAACCTATTCCGAAAACCGAACCGAAATCTATTTGAACTGAAAATAGCAGCTGACCGTCTAACTTTCTTCGGACCGAACCAGATTGAAAAAATAATTGGTACGGTTTTCAGAGATATAAAAAATATTCGTACCGAGAACCGAACTAAACCGAACCATCTCATACCGTATTGAACCAAAGAACCGAAACTAAAAACTGAATTATAACATTAATGTGTGTTATTAGTATATTTTATATCAACTTTGATCTTATATAATTTGAGAAAATTTTTAAAATGAAAAGTAATAACAATTAAGCTTTACTTAAATTTCATTCTTAGTGATACTTGATCTACAATTGATTTTTTTATGTTAGTAAAAGATATTTAAAATGGTGTGGAAGTTAAAGAATATTTCTTGAAGAAAAACTATATTATATATTTATTTATTTTTTGAATTTTAAATTTTTAATATTAGTTGCAAAAATTAAGTCTTAACTTAAAATTTAGAGTTACTTCTAAATTGATTTCAAAATAAAATCTTGAACATGAGGGGAGTATTGATGAATGTTGGCTTTTTTAAAGCATACAATAATTAAATCTTGAATATGAGGGGGGTATTGATGAAGTATTGATGAATATTGTTTTTTTTAGCATATAAAAATTTTAAATATAACTAGATAGTTGTTGATGGACGGATCCGGTCAACGGTTACAATTAAAGATATTGAGAGTAAGAAAAGGGAATAACGGAGAAATACTGCGGAAAATGAATTTGTTTTACGTAATTACGAGGTTAGCCTCTGTGAACAAGGTCGGTACTTTTGTTACAGTTGATATTCTTACAAGGATTTATTACAAGTTCTAGAGAGAGAGAGAGAGAGAGTATAGAGAGTTAGTTGAGATTCAACAACCCAAAATAAATGAAGTGGGTTTCTATTTATAGTGCTCTTAAATGTGGCACTGTTCTGTTCACAAGTCCCGTCGCACAGTGTTCCTGCCAATCAGGTCGGCGTCGCTCTGCCAGTTAATAAATGCAATTTGAGATTTTTTCAATCATGTCTGCCAAGCATTTAATGCACACATGGGTGACATTAAATGCTGCCAGCCCTTTTGTCGAGCTAGATACCATAGGGTAGTAGGCTAGGGCGGCTGGTCCCATCGTTCAAGCATTAGTCACCAAGTGACATTATGATATTACTTCTGAGCTCGGCTCTTGCATAGTCGCCGATCTCTAAGAATGTCTAGCTCGGACTTTCAATACTTTCCGTTCCCCTAGCCCCTAGGGGTCTGTGTCCCAGTTCGGCACTTACTCAGGTCGGTGTTAGCCCGGATAGAAGTCGGTGCCAATCTCGAGGAACGCTCGGGATGTCATTTTGGTTGTCTCTCGTCCTTTTTTTAGCTCGGTACGCCGCTTCACATCGTCACCCGGTTCGAACTGCGAGGTCGTCTTCTGCCGGTCTCCCGCAACCGAATCGTATTTCCCGGGTCGGGCTAATCCGGATGTCAAGATACAGACTCCCGAGCTCAGATGTGAGGTCCATGGCGTCTCTTCTGGGGTCGTCTCTTTTGAAATCGAGTCCGGATTGTTCTGTTCCGTGTTTTTGCGGTTCGGTTGTGAGGTCGGCATTTCTGCGACACTTGGCGAATTCCACGGATTTTAATCGAGCATTGATGACGCCAGCTGAAACGACGTGTATTAAATGCGAGGCGCCCGTTAATTTTCTATCGGTTGCGAAAAGCCGTGTCACTTTGATTGCAGCCTGCGTAACGTACACATGGCGCCTCCCAACCGTCCATCCAAAAATCGTGTCTATCGGTTTCGAACAGTTGCATCTTTTCGAACTTTTCGAAATTCAAAAAACTCTTTTGTTGGCCATCAAACCTTTCTGTTGACGTCCTTCACGATCTTGTGCCACCATTTGGTTTAAAATTTCCTGAAGTATCTCATGTTGCTAGTTGGTGAGTGTTCCCTACTTTGTTGTAGGTCTCTCAGACATCCTGACAATGGCCTTAATGTCATAAAGGGCACCTATAGCGTCTCTCACAGCGTAATAAAAGTGACGACAGACTGTGACTATCCCCGAGGAGGGCCAGTCCCAAACGCTCTCCTTGTCCATGCCTCATCCAAATCTTTCATCAGATTCTTCTTGGAATTGTCATCTGCCATAATCTTCAAATTTCTTTAGATTTTTTGTGAGAAAACCCGATCAGCCTCTTACAGTCGATAAAAAAGGCTAGAGTTTTTCTGCATACGACGCCAATTTATGCAAGTTGCCTTGGACTGGTTGAACCGTGAACCACGAACCTCCACCAGCCCAGAACTCTGAGGACCTGCAATACGCCAGGAGGGGTCCTGGCAGAAAAGTCTCGAATGCTCAAGTCAGTGTATGTTTGTGACAAAACCGAGAGTATATATGTAAGTTTTTGTTCCCATTTGTGTGTTGTAAAACGTAAAGAACTTGGATACCCGTATACACCTAGAGCAACTTGTTGGCTAAGAGAGTCCTTGTTGGAAAGATATCCTCTCGTATCGATCCACTTTTCTAACTAGCAATATCTTCTGAATGTGAGAGTCCTTGTCATTATGCACTTCTCATCCATGAAGGTTCTTTCACCCCCTATTGCACGGATCCTAGGTTTCGAGGTCACCAACCCATCCTTTGCACGTACCTGCCACTAGTGTTGGTCGAATTGTAACCACGGCCTAACCCCAACCGACCTAAAGGTCATGAAGTCTCTTTTGAAGCCTAGCTCATTTGGTCTCCCTAATTTTGAGCTACCTGAATCTCTCCGGTGTCCGAGCTTCTCTGGTCTCTCGACATCCGAGCTACCTAACTCTCTCCGGTGTTCGAGCTTCCTAATTGGTCTACTAATGATGCAGATTATTAGTTAGCTTGGAGAATAAGTTAGGGTTTAGTTTAAGAGTCTGATTTAAAGGGTTCTAATGCTTTGTTAGTAGAGGAGTTGATTTTGAATGAAATAAGATATTGTTGAGTTTTGTGAGTTTTACGAGAGAGTATCTCGTTTATCCTTCCCATTCGTACGCTTTCCCTACATCAGTTGGTATCATCAGTCTGTACGATTCGCGATGTCATCGGGACGACAAGATGCCGCAAACAAACAACGTGATGCAACCTTCAACGATCGGTTTCAACAGATTGACTACCGATTTCAAGAGTTGGACATGCGTTTCACGGATTGGTTTGCTGATCTTTCGACGGGGATCGAGAGTTTGTATTTGACGCTTAACAACGTGGTTGTTTTGGAATTGCAAGCGAACCGCGATGGGGCTGTGGGACGTGGCTTTCGTGGGGGAGACATAGGCGGTTGTGGGGGGACGCAGCCATGTCTGGACGCCCCGGCAGAGGTCCCCGCCACCTTTGAACAGCTTCGTGGACGGAACGATCAACGCGACGACAGAGGCAAGCGCGAGAGGCTGCCATCGTCGATGAATATCATGCCCGACGTGATTGGGAATTTGATCGTGACTATGGTCGATGGGAGAGCCCGTTTCGTGTAGACATCCCCGAATTCGACGGAGAGCGAGTTGACGGGTCGTTGTACGGTGGTCCGCCTGTGTTTGATTAAGGACCCGAGGAGGTAGAGGAGCGTTTTACCGGCGAAGTAGACCGTCTCTACGACGGTCTGCCGATTTTCGATGAGCCTCTGGGGCTAGAGGAATTCCATCATGTTCAGGGTATCAAGATTCAGTTGTCGGACGAATTGGTAGTTCTTCTACTGCGCAGGCCCGAGCTTTTCTCCCATGGGAATTTGTTGCGACCTTGCAAACAGATGTTGTTTTTTGGTCCCCACGGTGACTTCAATATTTTCTGTGTGGCTGTTGCATATATGTCTTTCCATGAATTTCAAGGGATGGAAATGAGGCATTCAATATTCGTGTTCGTTCGGGGGAAATGCCCGGGCTATTTCCTGTCATGGGGACGTCTCCAACGGGAACGTGTCCGATTCGAGGGCGAATCCTACTCAACCGAGTGAGAATGATGCATAATAATAATAATAATAATAATAATAATAATAATAATAATAATAATAGTTATTATTATTATTATTAATATTATTAGTTAGCTTGGAGAATAAGTTAGGGTTTAGTTTAAGAGTCTTATTTAAAGGGTTTTAATGCTTTGTTAGTAGAGGAGTTGATTTTGAATCAAATAAGATATTGTTGAGTTTTGTGAGTTTTACGAGAGAGTATCTCGTTTATTCTTCTCATTTGTATGTTTTTCCTACATCAACTAATCTCCAAGCTACGCGGGTTTTGTCATATGGTTTAAGTACTGAAGATGAAACTTTCTTCAACCGTCTACAACCGAGCTAATCCTTCTAGTTAGCTAACCTAGCTATTCTAGATGCTCTATCACAACCCACGTAGTTTAGTAGGCTTCAAGGCACCCATATTTTTCGATAAAAATAACTCTGACGAAAATATCTCCAATAATAAGCCTTTTTAAATTGTATGATTGAATAATCAAGTTTCAATTGGAATTCCAAAAACAAAAAAGAATATAATTTAAACGAAATTTTAATTCTTCATTAGAATTATATTAATATAAATCTGTTGGCAATTTCAATCGAAATTATAATATTAGAAAATTTCTAGATATATTTGAGTTATAATATTTTAAATTAGATTTTTTGTTGGAATTTGGTGTTATATTTATTAATTAGCACATGGTCAGTTTGTCTTTTATCATTTCATTATCTTTAGTTTCAACAAACATATCGCACAATATCATTATCTACCTAAAGTTTCTAGACGTTCTCAGCAGCATTTTCTTCAACTAATTCGCTTCTTTAACGTGTTCGACCAATCCCAGATGAATTTAATATAAAATAAAAATATAACAGGTAAATTTGATATAAATTAAATAATAATAATAATAACATCTACATTAAATTAAAATAAAAATATTGAAAAAAAAAAATGAACTAAGACAAGACTTAATATAGTAGCATGAATTAAAATTAGATAAATTATATATTTTTATTTATTAAAATTATAGAAATTTGGAAATGAAAAATAATAATAATAATAATAAAAATAAATTTAATAATATATAAACTTAAAGTAATATAATAGGTAATTTAATAATAATAATAATAATAATAATAATAATAATAATAATAATAATAATAATAACTTGAAATAAACTAAAATAATGAAAAATAAATTAAAATAAAGTAAGATAAATTAATTAGAAGAAGGAACTAAATTTAAATAAATTTATAATTCTTATTTTAAAAAAATTTAATTACATAAATTCAATAATGTATAATAATATTAATAATATTAAATAAAATTAAATTAAATTAAATTAGTAAAAATAAAATAAAATAATAATATAGTATGAGATAATAAAATATAAAAAATGGTAAATAAACAAAATTATAAATAAATTAACTTATTATAAAATAATAAATAAACATAAATATTAATCTTAAATTATTATAACAGAATAAAAAATATAATTTATCAAATAATTTTTAGTATGGTTCTTGCGTAAAATATGAATAAAAAAATAGAAATAAATTATCAGTTTTTGCCATATGATTTAAATTAAATAAATAATTTTACTTTCTATTTAGTAAAATTTTTATTTTAATTTTTTTTATCATTGTCCTAAGTTAAACAAAATAATACAATAGAATAATATGAAATAATAGAAGTTAAAATAAATAATAAACGCATATGAAAATAATTTAAATTAAATGCAATAACTATTATTATTTTAACTGTAATTTTTGTATAAATATATAAGTTATTTTACTTATTTTAATTTTTCATCTATAAATTATTTTATTATAATTTAATTTTTTATAAGTTTATAGTTATTAACTTATCTTAAAATAATTTACATTATCTTTTCTAATTTAATTTTATTATACATATTTAATATATATATATATATATATATATCAAACCTTCTTAAATTATAACACTCAACTTAGACGGGATGGGCGGTAGCAATGAGCCAATGCTTCTATTCTCCCTTGTGGTCCCCAGGTTCGAACCCTATAGCTTGAGAAAAAAAAAATTGTCAATTTCTCGCGATGTTCTCAAAATATCGTGAAATTATATAACTCGAAGGGTATAACAGGGTTTTCATAAGAAAAAAACTAAAACCGTTAACTGAAAAAATGATAAAAGGGAGTGTGTTCATAGGTTAGTTAAATATAAGAGGGTATCACACATTTTCTAAAACACATAATAGTAACGCGCCCCATTTCGTATAATACATGGGAGTTTGGTGCAACTTTTCCCTTTTTCTTTTGTGTTTATTAAGGACGTGTTTGTATACAAATATATTCGACCCAAATGAGTTTTTTGGTTAATCAAGGTTAATTTTGAAAAAAGTGGTATTTTTAATTGTTAGTAGAATTTTTGGTTTTATATTAAAATAATATTTAGAATAAAATAATTGAAGTTGATTTGATGTAAAAATAGGAAATAGATGATGTAAAGAGATAGTTAAATTTATAAGAGTTGATGAATAGTAAATTAACATTGATTGAACTAAATGCAGATACAGGGTTTCTGGAATTCTCCTTGTGGGAGCCCATTCTCCTTGTGGGAACCTCATTATCTCAGGTGAGATCCTCATTTTCCTTTCTTAATTCACCCTCAATCTCTATTAATCTGTCCTCCATCATTCTCTCTCAATTAGCATTGAACAATGTCATCCACAAACAACATCGACGCCGGGCTGACGGGAGAAGATGACCTAGAATCGAAATTAAGGAACTTCTCCTTATCAGAAGCAGAAAATTCAATTGTAGATCTGGCCCAGGAGGATATCAAGCTAAGCAAAGAAGAATGCATCCGAAGCTTATTTGGGAAAATCATCGGGGATCGAAAAGCCAGTTTATTCGGTCTCAAGCGAACGATGACCCAAATATGGAAAATTCAACACTCAGTGGAAATAAGGGAATTGAGAACAAATTTTTTTCAATTTATTTTCGAAAGCAGAGAGGACCTCAAGAAAGTGGCTTCGGGAACCAACTGGATCTACGACAATCAATATTTGATTCTACAAGAATGGCAAGATAATATAAGCAGCACTCACACAAGCTTCGATATCTTGCATCTCTGGGTTCATGTATACAATGTTCCATTTCATTGGCAATCTGCGGAAGTGGGACTTAAAATTGGCAGGCTTTTTAAGGGAGTAAAGAATGTTACTTTATCTACAGCAGGGGATAATGGAGCAGGTAGAGTTATCAGAATCCTAGCAGCTATCAATATAAAAGAACCACTCTTGAGATGTGCAAATGTCAGGCTGGGAAATAAAACAATCAAAGTTAGTTTCAAATATGAGAAGCTGGTTAATCTCTGTTATTATTGTGGCAAATTGGGACACCTTGATAGGGATTGCACAAAAAGGATAGAGGACATTGCTCAGAACTCTCTCCAAGAAGGGCAGTTTGGAGAATGGCTAAAGGCAGGAGACAACACAATAACCTATCCTTTTCAGCAACACAGCACTTCAGGGTCTAGTATGGCAAGAAGCTCAGAGCATGCTCCTAAATCAATCTCCCCTCCCATCAACCAAGCTTTTGATCAAAATCACAGAGATACTAGTACAGCTGATAATCTTTTCAATCTTAACAGCTTGGTGGAAGTCACAGTGCACTCTCATCCAGAACAGCAAAGAGTGGCAACTCAAAACACACTAAGTAACAAACAAGCATTACCTCTGCTACCAATGGACACCAGTGTTCAGAGCAAAGAAGCAAAAACAATTGCCTCCACCGACATGATCCCTTCTGAACAACTGCACGACTCTCCCACCAACATGGAAACAGAGAAGAATGTTGATGACATAGGCAAAGCAAATAAAGAACCTGCAATCAAGAAATGGAAGAGAGTAGCACAAAACAGAGACAAAGCTCAAAGAACTCTCACCATTAATGAACCAGCTCCTCACATCATGTCTATGAAAAGAGAAAGACCACCTCACATGGAGTCTCCCCAAACCTCTACATCAGGAGGTAAAAAATTAAAACAAACATTTGATATGGGTTTGTTGGCCACCCATCAAGAGCCAACAAGTGAACCATGAAAGTGCTGGTGTGGAATTGTAGAGGTTTGGGTGGACCCTCTACAATTCCCCAGCTCAAGGAGTCCATAAGGACCCACTGCCCGCATTTCACCTTTCTATCTGAAACTAAGAAACACTCTGATTTTGTAAATACTGTTTGTAAAAATTTGAAAGTAGAAGATAGATGGAAAGTTGTTAACCCTACTGGGACTGCAGGAGGTTTACTTTTACTATGGAGTAAGGATGTTTTGATATCTCAAATTATCTGCCATAACTTTTGTATGGAGGTAGAATACTACACTCCCTTCACTAATAAATCTTCTTGGATCATTTTTGTATACATGAGCACTGCCAAGAACACCAGAGAACATCAGTGGGATCTTCTTAAAGGGATGCAACAAAAATGGGGGAGCTCATGGCTTTGCGCAGGTGACTGGAACGACATTTGCAATCCAGTTGAAAAGAGAGGAGGCTTGCCAAGAACTCCAACAAGCTGCTTGGGATTCAACTCTTTCATCTCTGACCTGGGTATGATTGAACTCAAATGGGTGGGCTATAATTACACCTGGGCTAATAACAGAGAACATGAGGGCTTTGTAGAAGAAAAATTAGACAGAGCTTTCTGTTCAATTGATTGGCTTACTGAACATCCAAATGCTACTGTGGAAAACATTCTTAGGAGCTCCTCAGATCACAGCATGCTGCTCATTAACACAAATGCTACACCTCAACAGATGAAAAGTAGATTCTCCTTTGACAAGAGGTGGATTTCCAAAGAAGGTGTCAACGATGTGATAGCAAAGGCATGGAACCAGCCATGTGAAGGCACACCCATGTACAGAGTCAAAGAAAAGATCAAAGCAACCAGAATAGCATTGATCCATTGGAGTAGAAACCATCATTCAGAAAATCAAAAGAAAATTCAAACTCTCACATCTGCACTAGAGGAGCTGAGAACTGCAGGAGGGGAAAGAGATTGGAATTCCTGGAATTCAATAAAGAACCAACTAGATGCAGCCTACTATCAGGAAGAAGTTTACTGGAAACAAAAATCAAGAATGTTGTGGCTAAAAGCTGGGGACAAAAACACTAAATTTTTTCATGCCTTCACAGCTCAGAGAAGAAGATTGAATGCAATCACTAGGTTGTTTGATGAAAATGGCAACCTAATTGATGATCATCAGAGCATAAAGAACTGTATATGCAGATATTATGAGAATTTATACTCATCAGAAGGCCCAGCTGGAAACTTGGAGATCCTCTCAAATATTCCTCAAACTATTACAGATCAGCAAAACGAGGAGCTTATAGCAGAAGTTAATGATAGAGAAATCACTGAAGCCCTCTTTAGTTTGCATCCTGAAAAGGCCCCTGGGGAGGATGGCATGACAGGTATTTTCTTTCAGCATTTTTGGCCTATTCTAAAAGAAGATGTTTGTGAAGCTATTAAAAGCTATTTTCAGTCAGGCAGGATGCTTAGATATTGGAATCACACTATAATCTCTCTTATTCCTAAAAGCTTATACCCTGAGACTCTAAGCAATTACAGGCCAATAAGTCTTTGTGGTGTTCTTTATAAAACAATTTCAAAGATTCTCACCAACAGACTTAAGCCATGTCTTTCTAAATGCATCAGTGAATATCAAGCAGCATTCATTCCAGAAAGATCTCTTCTTGATAATGTGGTGATAGCACAAGAGGTCTTTCACTTCCTCAACAGGCACAGATCAGGTAACAACTACTTTATGGCTGTTAAACTGGACTTACTTAAAGCCTTTGATAGACTTGAATGGGATAGTGTGAGACTTGTGATGATCAAAATGGGCTTTCACAATAAATTTATTAAATGGATCATGGGCTGCATTACATCTCCCACCTTCTCTTTCAAGTTAAATGGTAATGTCTGTGGTTGGGTTGCACCATCTAGAGGTATCAGGCAAGGGGACCCTATCTCCCCCTACTTATTCATCATGGTGGCTGAAATCTTTTCTGCTCTTATCTTAAAGGAAACTAGTCTGGGAGGAATGAAAGGGCTGAAAGTTTCTAAAAATGGGCCAACCTTATCTCATTTATTATTTGCGGATGATACTCTTGTTTTCTGTAAAGCAGATACTAATCAAGCTAGGCAGTTGATGGAGATACTTGCTAAGTATCAATCTTTTTCTGGGCAAAAAGTGAATTGGAGCAAGTCCACGATATTTTTCAGCAAGAATTCACCACAGCAGCTAAAAAGAAGCATCTGTTACATTCTCAATAATATCACAGAGCATACATCCACCAAATACCTAGGTTTGCCACTGGGTATAGGCAAATCCAAAGCTCAAGCCTTCTCCTTTGTGATTGAAGCAGTCAGAGGAAGGATAAATAGTTGGAAAAGCAAACTCCTATCCACAGCAGGTAAGGAAGTTTTAATAAAAGCCATCCTAAATGCCTTACCAATTTTTGTGATGGGATGTTTTAAGCTGCCAGTGTCTGTTTGCAAAGAAATAGCTGGTTTGTGTGCCCAATTTTGGTGGAGCAAAGGAGGAGACCAAACTAAAGCAATACATTGGGTCAGCTGGAACAAGATAGCCTTGCCTAAAAAGTTGGGAGGCTTAGGTTTCCAAGATATAAGGTTGTTTAATGATGCCATGATCATGAAGCAGCTATGGAAACTTCTTACCAAGCCTGATCTCTTAATGTGCAGAGTGCTTAAAGACAGATACTTCCCTAAATCAGATTTTTGTGATGCTGTTAGGAAGAATGGAGGATCTTGGCTATGGAATTCATGGATGGAAGTGAAGCCCAAATTTGATAAGCTGGTCCAGGTCCAATTGAACAGTGGCAGTAACACTTCAATCCTTGGTTATCCTTGGATCAAATCTCTGGCCCCACAAAGAATCAGTTTCAGAGAAGGAGTTCAAACAAGCTGCATCAAGGTTAAAGACCTTCTCCTAAGTGATGGGCTAACATGGAACAGTCCTCTGATCTATCAACTTTTTGATAAAGACACGGCAGAAAAAATCCTGGAAATCCACAACATCAATCCCAACGCAGAAGATGGCTGGATTTGGCTTGGTGCAAAGAAAGGTCTGTTTTCTGTTGCTTCAGCTTATTCTAATCTTATTTTAGATAAATATGCCACAATGGACAGGCCTGAAGGCAGCTCAACAAGCACAAGGGACATAAAGGTTAGAACCAGAACATGGAGACTCAAAACAAAAGGCAAAATCAAACATTTCATTTGGAAATGTTGCAAAGGGACACTACCTGTCAGCACAAACCTTATAAAAAAAGGAGTTTCAGTGGACCCTATCTGCCAAATTTGTGGAGAAGCAGAGGAAACTATAGTCCATACATTGTGGCATTGTCCCAAGGCTCAAAGAGTTTGGAGAATTGCCCCAGTAAGTTGGGATTGCTTCTCACAGCCAAATGCACAATTCTCAGATTGGTGGTGGACAATTTGCTCAATTGGATCAAAAGAAATCGATGAAAGCCGAATCCAGCTCTCTACTTATATATTATGGTGGTTGTGGAAATCCCGCAACCTATGGGTCTTCCAAAAAGTTCACCTCCCAGAGCACAACCTTATTCAGTTAGCTATCAACGAATGGAAAGAGTTCTGCTCAATTTCATAGCACAACATATCTATATGTCTGATGAAGTATTAATCTAGGCCGTTTGGCAGTTCTTTAATCACTTCATTAGATATTCTTTAGCTTTCTAAGGCCTTCAGCCTTGTGCTGCCTTAGTATAGTTTATTGCTAATTTTTAGACCTACATGTAAGGTCTCCCATTGTGTGTGCGGAATTTCCATTGATGTATGTATTGAACAATGTATTTTGCTTTTTTGATAATGAGCACCCTACCGTTTAGACAAAAAAAAAAAAAAAAA